CCCGTTCCCCGATGGCGCGGGACGGGGACGTCGCTCTCCGCTTGCCCCCCAGCACAGCCCCCCCTCGCCTTTCTCCCCCCAGCCCAGCTGGTGGCTCTACCCCTGGGTTGGAGCAGATCTTACCCAGCTGCAGCAGGTTTTGCAACATGATCTGTGCTTATACTGGTGGGGATTGCTCAACCCTTTCTGCTCCAGACAGGGAGCAGGGCTGGGGACAGCAGGTAGGAGCCACACTCCTACAGAAGCCCGGCGGAGGAAGGAGCCCTCTGAAGCGTGCAGGTGTTCTCCCCTGCGAAAGGGAGAAGAGCTCCTTAGCCGCAGGGATTAACCCGACTGATTTGGGCTAGACGGATGCACTAACCTCACTCCAACCAGAGGGGAGAGAGCTGGAACTGTGGAGGCCATTTCACCTGGGGAGGCACAAATGCAAAGGCCTGGAAGGACATATCCCCTAAACTCCATATTAGGTTTATCTCTGCGCTTACAGCTACATTTTGTTTTACAGGGACAAACAGGAGGGGCAGCTCACATACCCAAGTACAGTCACAGTTGTTTAGGAACTGCAGCAGCACCTGTCTTCCCTACAAGTAAGACAACAACTTTTGCAGAAACAAGGCTCCTTCATCTGGTGCAAAGTGCATTTAAAAATTCTGATTTTATGCAAGTCTATTATTGACACCGTGGTCCCAGGCACAGAGTCAACCCTGCTGCAGAACAGGGGAACTTACCTGGTAACTGCAGACATGGAAATCACATCGCTTTCTAGTGGGATTTCATGGCAAATTTAAGAGATTCAAAGGCCCTTACGAGTCAAAGCATCTGATAAGTTCAGCAATGCAGGCTTGGCCTTAGAACAGCTCCGGTAAAGCAGAAGCAGGATTTACATGCAACAGAGGGTGCCAGGATGCCTCCCATTCTCAATTATTCTTCAATAAAAGACTGAGCAAAATTTTGACATGTTTTGGCCCTTTTAAAATTACTTAAAGGATCAAAACAGGAACAGCTAAAGTAGAGAGCAAGGTTAGACCGAGCTTGATGGGGATTATATAGATACAATCTTATCCAAAGAACGCTTCTGTAGGCTGCTGCAGTAACGCTTCCCCGTAGCGCCACAAAGCCTGCAGGAATCACTGAGCAACGAGCTTTGCTTTGAAGCTTTACCGTTTCAGCAAGAATCCACTCTGTCAGATTGTATGCTGAAATACAAACACTTGAAATATCAAAAGGATCAAGCTGCTCAATTTAACAAAGAGACCTCGATGAATGACTTGAAATTGTGTTTATCAGTCCACTTTTTTGGTCTGTTTCGGTTCTGGTTAGTAACATTTACAGCAAAGTTGCTCATTACGTTTGATGTGCTACTTACGCCCACAACCTGCTTACAAAGCACTAATGACAGACGTGTATCTTACCAGGGCTTAGGCACTGGAAGGGCAGTGGTCATGCTTTTGTGTCTGTGCAGACCTGCTTTTAACCTGCCCAACTTGGCCCACAATTACTGCCCCAAAATAACAACTTCTACGAGAGCAGAGACAGAGACACGTAACTCGGGTTTATTGTTTTGGGAGAGTATTTTGCAGTTCAACTGAAAATAAGCTTAAAACAAACCAATCACCCTCAAACTCCCTTGAAGAGTTCACATACCATAAAACCAGCTACAGCAAGTAAACTGAAAAAGATATTTATGAAATTAGGACTAATTTTACATAGTCATGACTATAAGAAATACTAAAAGTAAAGAAAAGTAGTATTATAGCCCCTATTCTTTATCCCGTTAACTTAAAATAATTAAAGAGTTCCGAAAAATCTTTCATATTTAGCAACTTCAAAAGTTGTAGTAACACAGGGAAGACCTAACGTGCATGTTTCTTG